CCAGGCATGAGTCACTGGCCTGGAGATGCTGATGCCTGCTGCAGGCTCAGGTGTACCCCTACCTCAGTATGTCTTGGGGACTTGGGAAACCCCTGCCTGCCCTACTCCTCAGTAAAGCCTCTTGGCAGTCTTCTCTCACATCACTGTACCTCTTGTTCTATTCTGGCCAGAGTGGCCTCCTTTCTGTTCTAGGAACACGAAATGTCTTTCTTTCTTTCTTTTCTTTCTTTTCTTTCTTTCTTTCTTTCTTTCTTTCTTTCTTTCTTTCTTTCTTTCTTTCTTTCTTTCTCTCTTTCTCTCTTTCTCTCTCTCTTTCTCTCTCTTTCTCTCTCTTTCTTTCTTTCTTTCTTTTTCTTTTTTTTAAGATTTTATTTATTTGACAGAGAGACACAGCAAGAGAGGGAACACAAGCAGAGGGAGTGGGAGAGGGAGAAGCAGGCTTCCCGCCGAGCAGGGAGCCCGATGCGGGGCTCGATCCCAGGACCCTGGGATCATGACCTGAGCCAAAGGCAGATGCTTAACCATCTGAACTACCCAGGCGCCCCACGAAATGTCTTTCTACCCCAGAGTCTTTGCACTTGCTGTTTCCACTTGTCGCTCTCTTGGCTTGTCACATGGTTGGTCTCTTATCATTCAAAGGTCTTCTCCTCAGACTGTTAAACTCCTGCATACACTCCCAGTGGCTCTCTTGTCACCCTGTTGATTTCCTCTGAAACTGTGGAGTTCATTTCCTTGTTTACTTGTTTGGCATGTGCTCTTGAAGGGCAGGGTCCCAGCTGCCTCTCTCTCTCCCTAGGGTTCTCAGCACAGTGGCCCACATGGGTTCACAGTAGTCAGTAGTTGAATAGATGACTCCTCCTGCCCCCGTAGCCCATCCAGAAATTCCTGGCCTGAGTTCTCCAGGCCAAAGCCAATTATCTCTGTAGGAGGTGGATGACCAGGAGGGGGGACCCTGGACCTCAAGGCTTCCCAGACTTGGGACTCTTTCTCGGGGGGGAGGGTAAGAGAAGCCTGGGAAGAGAGGTTTGGAAGGAAGGGGCAGAGGGGGCAGGGTAGCTGACTCCAGTCTCAGAACTGCTTCTGGGCTAGGAAAGCAGGAAGGGGGAAGTGCAGGGGATGTACCAGGAGGTGGAGCCTGGCTCAGGGCTGCAGGGAGGGAGCCAGTTCTGGCCATTGAGATCTACAAGCAGAAGTTGCTGAGGCTCTTATCTGCAAGGGCTGTGATTTGATGGTCACAGACTCTTGCTGGGGACTCCCTGCCACCTGGGAGCCATGGAAGTGGGGGTGGTCAGGATCCAGGATTCTGGGTGTCCCCGTGGGGTCCTGCCTGTTCCTGGACTCTGGGTGAAGGCAGACACACCCACCCCGAAACTACTTTTGAGGAAGTGCTACCAGCTTCCCCTTCCTGGAGCCTGTGGGCTGGGGTGTCACAGCCCACTGAGAGGGTCTCCATTCCTCCCCCTGCTCGGCCTGGTGCATGGTAGGAACTCAATACAAGCTGGCCCTGCATGGCCTGTGGCGAGCCCCGGGGCTAGTCTAGCTGTCCCCGTGGCAAGCGGACTGAGCAGGCGGCGGCCACTTATCCATTCCAGCCTGAGTGTCGCCCTCCCTTCTGCTGGCTGTTCTTTCACTGTCTTTTCAGGTCTAGTCTGGGGACAAGTCCTGCCTCCTCGGATGCCCATGGCTAGGCAGCTGTCCCCGGCCTCCAAACCAACATCTCTCAAAAGGACTCCCAGATTCCCGAGTGGGAAGGAAGCAGATGCCTGTTGTCCCTCACTAGATGACCGCAGATGGGTCCTGTCCCCTTCTGACCCTCAGTTGCCTCAGCGGCAAAGCAAGGGGTTTCTCCAGCGTGACCCTTGATTTTCTCACTGGCTCTTCCCCAAACCCACCCTCGCAGTCCCACCTCCTGGTTCCGTCTTGCTGCTACATTCTTCCTCAGCACTCTTCTCCCTCTACCACTCCCCACATCACCACCAAGAAACCTCCTTCCCCAGCACGAGTAGTTTCTCCCTTCTCTGCACACATGACTATGGCAAATATTATAGCGGTAGCAGGATTAGTTGTTTACAGCTTTCCTAGCTCCGGGAGTGGGGGGAACCCCTGGAAAAGTGGGGTAGGGTTTGTGTGATTCACTCATTAAATTTGACAGATGTTTACCTGCCACCCTCAAGGATTATGCTGTAAGGGGTCTGGAATCAGAGATCCGGGCAGGAGAGACTCACCACTGGGACGGTGGGATCTGGGCCAGGATGGGGGAAGCTCCAGGACAGTGGAGTCCTAGAGGCTCAGCTCACAGCCATGCAATGAGCAATAGGGAGGAAGAGCAGGAGGATGCGGTGAGAGGGGCGCCTGGGTGGCTCAGTTGTTAAGCGTCTGCCTTCGGTGAGGAGCCTGCTTCTCCCTGTCCCTCTACTGCTCCCCCTGCTTGTGCTCTCTCTCTGTCTCTCTCTCTGACAAATAAATAAATAAAAATCTTTGGGAAAAAAAAGAGGATGGGGTGAGAGAGTTCAGTCAGATGGCTTGAGCGCTGGTGTGTTAAATGGGGGGAGAGAGGGTGGACTTGGGTGGGGACAGGGCCTTTCAGGAATTGCTGCAAACACCCCTACTTAGAGTTTTCCATGTGTTCATGCATAGTCTGAACATTTTACCTACACTTCCTCCCTTAGTACTGACCTAGGCCAGTATAGTGGGTAGATATTACTATTGGGCCCATTTTACTGATAAGAAAACTGAGGCACCAGGAGTTTCTGGTATTTCTCCAAAGTAATACGCAGCTGGCAAGTTTGTAGACTGCTCCCCAGAGTCCTTGCTGTCAGCTGCCTCTCTACTGCCTCTGCCTCCTGCACTGGGGTGCAGCGGTGTGTGGGCTTTATCCTCAGGACACTGGGGAGCCACAGAAGGTTTGTGAGAAGAGAGTGATAGGATTTCTTTCAGGAGGACCCCTTGGCTGCCATGTAGAGCATGAATTGTGGAGGAAACGAGAGCCAGGGAGGAGGCTGGAGGCCTACAATAAGGGACATAGGACAGGGACACCTTTGAGGGGGGAGTTGAGAAGGGGAAGAAACCGAAAGGATGTAGGTCTGGGGAGGAGGGGGCCGTGGCTCTGGCTGGTGAGAGGTCACAAAGTGGAGGGACCAAGAACAAGGGCCAGTGGAGGTGCCTGAAGTGGGTGGGAGAGGTTTCAGACCAGTGATGGACATGGGGCTGGTAATTAGGGGAGAAGCTGGGCTGGAGATGACAGAGTGGGGTTCTGAGCCCCTGTAGTGGGAGGGAGGCATGTGAATGGAGTGGCAAGCAGAGGCCTAGCCATAGCCCTGGGGCCCCCATGAAGCCAGAGAGGGGGCAGCCGGGAGGGGTGGAGCAGGGGTTGCTGGACACTCTGGGAAGAATGCACAATTTGAGGGAGTGACTATCTGGTGGAATTGTGCAAGGACCGCACAGCCTGGCCTGGGGCTGGGGGAGGACATGCCTCCCCGTGGCCCCTGTCCTGCCCTGCCTCCATTGATTAGGGTCTGTGTCTGCCCACCTCTGGTGAGCCTGGCCTCCAAGGGGCTGACAGGTTCTCCCCGTTGCCCGGCAACTGCAAGAGCTGTTGGCTGTTGCTAGGAGTCAGCAGGGGAGGCCCAAGGAGGGAGGATCAGCTCTCAAATGTGGGGCGGGGCTGGCGGGGGAAGAGGCTGGCCTTAAAGCTGGGTTTGTAGCCTACGTGTGGACAGGCTGTGTTTTTGGCTGTGTGCACCCATTTTATAGTATATTCTGTGGATTTGAGACATGTTGGAAGCTGGGCCTATATCTGGATGAATAGTGCATATCTCTGAGTGTCTGTGTCCCTGGATAGCCATTATATGTTTTCATCATGTTTGCTGCATGCTTGTGGCAGGGCCTGCCTGAGCTTTGGCTCCAGGCAGGAGAGAACCTTGGAGGGACCCGTGGAGGACTTACAGGCCAATGGCTCCTCAACAAGGGAGCCATTCAGATAGGGATCCACAGACCCTCCAGGGAGAGCAGACAGCCTGAGGATTTGGAGCTGAAACAAGATGTGTGGCAGGGCGGTAAGGAGGGAGTCTATGCAAACAGGGGGCTGTGGGTGGCCAGCTCCCTTCCTGGCTTTGTGGACCTTCCTTGTCTTTGGGCTGAGGACTCCTCGCCTCATGGCATTGGGGCCACACAGGACATCTTTCTCGGTAGCCCTTGGTAGAACCTATCATTGGAGGTCCATCGGAGGTCAGGGCTGTGGGCTCTTCCTGAAGAGGATCAGAAAGACTGCAATGTTCTGCTAGAAATGCTGCCGCCTCCACTCCACCTTTGTCCAGCCATAGGGTTGCAGCCACTGTCCAGTGGGGACAGGCCATAGAATCATGGCCACTTATGTTTCCAGAAGTCAGATGGACCTCTACTTCTCTCTCTCTCTCTCTCTCGACCTGGTTGCCATGTCCCAGGCTGGAGTCCACGATGACTTCGTGCAGGAGGATGCCTCCTAGATCGGTGAAGGATGTTTAAAGCCTTGGGTGACAAGAGAAGCACCCCGGCTGAGGGAGACAGCCTGGGCAAAGGTGTAGAGGTGGCAGTAGACATTTTTTAAAACTGCAGCTCAAGAGAGAAGGGGCCAAACCCGCCGTAAGACAGAGAAAGCCGAAGTTTAGCGAGGCTCCGGGGCTCCGTAGATCCTGAAACAAGTTTATTGGGTTCATTAACTTTAACGAGACGAAGACACGCCTCCTCCACCCAGCTAGCCCAACTTGCTTAAAGCTCGAGGGTTGGTTTCTGCTCAGCCAGCGAGGTGCCCCGGATCCCCACCCTCGGGCTACAAGATCCGCCCGCCCCCGCCGTCGGGCAGCCGAGCTCCAGGCGCTCTGCATCCAATCGGAGCCCAGCCCCGCCTGCAGCTCGCCCGGAGCCCAATCCCTCTGGGCTTGGCTCCACTCCTGCTCCTATTCCTCGGCGTGGCTCCGCCTCCAGCCCGGGCCCGAGTCTGGGCTGAACCTAACTTTTAGTGCGCTCCGCCCTCTAGCCAATCACCGGCCCCGAATCTCCTATGGCCCCGCCTTCGGGCCCGCCCCGGCCCAGTCCCCGGCCTGGCCTGCTCCGGCCCCACCCTCGGCCCGCCCCGCTGTCGGTGCGCGGCGGCCGGGAAGGCACCGCCCGCAGACGCTCGGAACTGCCGACCCGAGAGCTACCCGTAGAGGGCCGGCGGCGGGAGCGGAGTGGGTCGGGCGGGGCCGAGCCGGGCCGGGGGCCGTGTGGGGGCCGGGCGGCGGCCGGGCCGGCGGACGGCGGGATGGGCTGCACCGTGAGTGCCGAGGACAAGGCGGCGGCCGAGCGCTCCAAGATGATCGACAAGAACCTGCGGGAAGACGGAGAGAAGGCGGCGCGGGAGGTGAAGTTGCTGCTTTTGGGTGAGGCCGCGCCCTGCGCTGGGACCCCCGATTCCCCGCCCGAATCCCCAGACAAGGACTTTGACCCCCACACTGAGGGCCTTGAACTCCCGGACTCAGCCTGGACCCCCCACACCTGGAGTTGAACTCCCAGACCCCTCCTGGCCAGGACACCCAAATAATGGTTCAAAACTCTGGGTTGGCCTACTAGACCTCTGATCCGTAGCCCAGACTCTAGGTTAGACCCTCAGCTCGTCGCAGTCGCCAAACCGCCAGATCCAGAACCCTGCTTGACCATTCACCCTTGCTGACCAACCTCACAGACCTTCAGAGTCCCTGCCTTGTCCTTCCGTCCTTCCCTAGACTTTACTCAAAGCCCCAGAACCCCACTTGGCCCCCACCCTTAGGCACCACTTGTTTCCCCCACCTGCTCCTCTTGTTCCTATTGGGCATGAATATCCCTGGGGCCCCTGCCAGGCCCCCACCCACTCCCTCCTTCCAGCTCTCTGCCCCATCCCTACTCTGAACCCTGTATCCTCCACCTGTGCACCATGACACCAGGGTACCTCTCAAGTGGAAACTGTGATTGCTCATGAGCCCTCTCTCCAGCCGGAACCCCCAAACCTTTAGAGATCCCTGCTCCCTCCATCTGGCCCACCTGGTTTCTCTCTGTACACAGTACTCCTCAGACCCTCTGCTCCTCCTCCCGAAGTCCTCTCCCACACTTTGGCCTACCTCTGATTACCCCCACCCCTCCTGCACCGGGTGGGCCTGGCCAGGAGGAGGGGGCCTAGACTGAGGAGCTGGACTGAGGCTCCACTGGTTGCACTGGGGGAGGGAGCCAGGCCTCCAGCCTCCCAGGGAGATTCCGCCGGCTGGCTGTTTCCCAGTTTCTAAGCCCCATCTGGGCCGGTGAGGGGGGGCGTCTGGGGAGTAGGAGGGAGTGTGAGTGTGGAGGAGTTTGGGTTGCGGCGCCTCCAAGGCCAGGGAAGATGGTGGCTGCTTGAGGGGTGGGGGGAAGTGGAAGTGGTGAGACAGCCGACATATTGGTGCCCCGGCCGGCGGGCGCGCCGAGGAGATGTGCTGACGGGTGCTGGTCTTCCCACACCCTTTCTGGGCCGAAAGGCCACGGACTTGGCCTATGGGAGTTGGGGGGCCTGTCAGATCGTGAGGCCCTGTGAGGGGGAAGGGGCGGACCAGCTAGATGAGGACTTGGGGGCCAGCTGGAGTTGGGGGACATCTGAGGTGGACTTTTGCAAAGACTGTGGGCCTGGTAGTTGTCCCCGTCCAGCCTCCGCTGGGAGCAGGTGTGGTGCCCGGTGGCTGCCTGATTCAGGGGCTTGGGGGTGGGGGGAGAGATGTCCTCGCAGCAGCGTTGGGGGCTGGACAGTGTATGCGGCGGGGGGGGGGGGTGTGGCCCCTCAGCCTCAGAGCCGTGGTGGGGTCCCCAGGCTGTGAAAAGCAGAGCTTTCCTTGCTGGGTGCCTGGCCGAGGGACAGTGTGTCTTCCATCTGAGCCCATCTGTTGACTGTCCCTGGGGGCCTGGCCTCAGGGGCACAGCCCAGAGGTTTCAAAATGGCATCCGTTCCGCCGCCGCTGCGGGTAGGAAGAGAAGGGGCGGGAAGGGGCGGCGGCCCAGCCTCCTGGGCTGTTTTGCGTTGGGCGCTTGCCTCTTCCTGTCTTTGCTGCGAGTGCGGCAGCACCAGTGAGTGGGTGTCGCCAAGGTGGAGGGCCCGTTGCTGATGCCCGCTGGGCCTGGGTAGGGTGCTTCCGGTACCACCGGCTCCTGGTGCCCACCCTGAGGCCGCTGGCCGGCCCCTTCCCAGGCCGGTCGGCTGAGGAGATGGGCGACTAGGCCATAGGGCCGGGCTACAGAGGGGACTCCTGGCCCTCTGTGCCCCAACCCCGTTCCACTAGTCTTGCTCCTTGGAGCTCAGCTCAGGTTTTGGGCCTGGCAACCCCTCCCACACTGGGCTGGCAGCAACCAGGGGTGCAGGGTCTGCCTCAGCATTTTCTAGGCTGGGGAGTCCGTCTCAGCACCCTGCTCCTCTGGCCTTTGCTTCCTCTGTTGAATGGGCTTCCTGAGTGCTGGGCCCAGGACGGGGAGAGAAGGAAGGTCCCTGTTGGGGGCAGGGGACGGGAGCTGAGACCCCACAGAGGGTGCACCACAAGCGGCTGAGAGACCTACCTCTGCCTGAAATCGGGGACCCAAGGCTGCATGGGTAAGGGTCCTGGCTGGCCGTCCCTCTCCCATCCAGGTACAGGGAGGTGTTGGGAGCCCAGCTGGGGCAGCTTCAGAGTGCTGGGCGCCTGTCCCACGTAGCGGGAGGAACTCTGTCCAGGCAACGGGCCTCTTCGGTTGGGCAATTTGCCAGCCTTCCCTTCCAGCCAGAACCACGCCTGCTGCCCCACCCGCATACTGGCTCCTTGCCCTCCTGGGTAGCCCTGCTGGCGGATGGGCACTGGGGGCAGAGGCAGATGTGGTACACACCAGTGAGGGTGTTTTTCCTGGTAGCTTGCTGCTGATACCAGCCCTACTTCAGGGACCCTCCCCACTGTCTATCACCCTCTCCCCCCCCCCCACACCGCCACCTAGTTCAGCCTGACCGACCAACAATCCCCAGGTGGAATTTAGGGCCTTGGGCTGGGCACTTAAGGGAAAGGAAGCCAGAGTGTGTGTTTGGGGGATGTCTCTGATTTGGGATGGGCTTGTGTGGGCAGCCTCCAGAGAAAGGAGAGACTGTCCCTGGTGGGTTCCATGAAGGCTTCAGGGTATAAATAACAGCCCTTCTCCCTTGCCCCTGGGCCTTTGCATCTACTCTTCTAGATTGGCGTGCATTTCCCTTCTTTCCATCTCACTCACTCCTACTTGATTGTTCTTCAAGATTCTGCTCGGGGACCACCTCCCAGGATCCTTCCTTGACAGCTCCCCTTCACGGAGGCTGCTGAAGCACCTCCTCTGGCTCGTGGTGCTAGAGCTTCCCCCATCAGAGCATCATGTTTGCCTGGGTGACTGCTGCCTTTCCTTGAGACTACAGGGGCAGGCTGTGTCCTGTTCGTTCCTGAGCCTTCTGTAAGGCCAAGCATGGAGCCTGGCACCTATTGAATGCTTCTTGTCTGTTTGTTGAATGAAGGAAGTGTTACTAGTCTGAACTCAGTCTTGGAGATGGGTGGGTAGATGGAGGAGTAAGATGGCGGTCCCCGAACCTGACATATTGTGGGCAGGTGGCAAGGGCTCAGGTCTGGCCAGTGACAGGGATTGGTGGCGGATAGCAAGGGAGTTCTTCAGGCTGTTTCTTCTTCAACTCCCCACCTGCCCGGCTGGCTCCTCAGAGACAACCCTCATGCCCCCTGTACAGAACTCTTGCTGACAAGTCCGTAGCCTGTCACAGGGCAGAGCATGCAGTAGGGCCTCCAGCCGTTCCTAGGAGAGTGGCGCGGCATGCTTCCTTGCAGCTCAGGCGGTCTGGGGACTGCTGCAGGCCTGCTGTCTTCACTGCTCCAGGAGAGCCGGTCTAGCTCTCAGGGCTGGGACTGCCCCACAGCCCTGGGGCTCAGGCCAAAGCAATGCTGCAGGAGTTCTTGGCCTGGCCAGTGCAGGGACTGCTCATACAAGGGCTCAATTAGGTTTACCAAAAGAAAAAGGAGGGAGTTTTGTGGTCTCTGTCCTGTGTGTGTCTCTAACAAATGGCCTGGCATTCAGTAGGTGCCTATTAAGCATGTATGGAAAGAATGACGCTATAGAGCACATCCATGAACAGGGATAAGTAATTCTGGGGCTGTTGCTTGGCGCTTGGTTTAGCTGGAAAAAGGGTAGCCTGGGATCCTGGTTGGCTGGGTAATGGGAAGAGACTGAATAGAGTGTGTGTGGGGGGAGGGTGGGGGCGGTCCTCTGGGTGGCTTTGAAAAATGAGCAGCATTTGCCAGGGGGTAGGTATGGGGCCGAGGGGCCAACTCAGCAAGGTCACTGAGGCTGGAAGGCCTGGCCTGGGGGAGGAGGGCTCACCTCGTTGGACTAGCTCTTGGGGTCACACAGACGTGGGTTCCAATCCCAGCTACACCTGGTGCATTCGCTGGGAAACGCAGAGACAGATGAAGGAACTCCTGTAGGTGTTCTGTTCCCCATCTGGAACCTGGGAACAGGGCGCCTTCCTGCAGCCACAGGTGTTGTGGAGACAGTGCCCCAGAGCCTGGAGGTGTGAAAACAGGTGAGGGAGCCCCTCATGGCTCCTACTCAGTGCTGAGAGTTTGGTGGGGAAGGCTCTCACAGCCTCCAGGCTGCCTGGCCTCAGGATGGAGGCCCCGGGGGAACCCCCTCCCTTGCCCTTAGGCAGCTGCTCGCAGCAAGGAGGGGGACTGAGGTGTGTAGACAGTTGGTGCCAGCCAGAGTGACAGACTGTCCTGGGGACCATAAGCCCAACCTCTGGGGACTGAGCGGCCGTCCTGGGGGCCTAAGGCTGGGGATGTGGCTGGGCTCTAGGCACCAGGTGGGCTGGTACCCAGGCCGGCCTCCCACCTCCCCGTTCTCCCCACAGCCTCCGGGGTCCCGGCTGGAGCTCATTAGCACTTGAATGGGGGGCGGGGTAGCTTGGGCCTCCCGTCTCTCCTTCCCACCCCTCCCCCAGGCTGGGCGAGGCTTTGTCTTCCTGAGCAGCCGCACTGGGGCTCCCACGCTGGGAAGTGAGCAAGGGTCTAAGCCATTTCTGACCCCCTGTGCCTGCGTCCTGCCCAGTCCCGCTGGGCCCAGCCCCTGCCCCTAGTGTTGGTGCAGCCAACAGGAGGGACCTCTAGATAGGAGTGGGACTGGGTCCTTCAGGGGATACCCTGAGCCAGGAGACTGGATGAACTGGGGTGGCTTTGCAAAGGAAGTGACGCTGGCACTCAGCTGAGGGCATCCCAGGAGGGTGGGGGTGGAGAACCCCAGACCGGGCAGAGCAGGTGGCAAGGAGAGAGGGAATGAGCTGCCGCCATAGCTGGAGGTGGAAGGCAAGCCAGCTGGGGAGCACAGGTTTCCATGCCAG